TTATCCAGTCACCATACAGGAACAACCGCCAAATGACAGGTCTCGTCAAGGCTATGTGAGAGTAGACTAGATTCCTGTGAAAATGTTAGGTCTGAGAAGATTTAAGGAAGTGATAGTCTCATATGGTACGCATTTACCTTTTGTGAGGCAACTGTTAAATTCATGGTCAACTAGTAACAGAATTATTCCACAAGACTGGAAAGGTTTGGCTGCAGCATTATTGGAACCTGGTCTGCAAATACAGAGGAAGACCTGGTGGAAAGAATGGCATAGACCTTTGAACAACAAAGTAGGGCTAGAGGCACTGAAATTTCCCAAGACCAACTTCTTGGAGAGGGTGATTATGCTGCTGTATGAAGACAGACATCTTCGCTCAACGCCATGCCGCAGCTTTGAATGTTTGGGACAGAGTGAACAAGTCAGAAAGAGAACTGAGTCATTTACTAAAGTTATAAAGGGCCCCCAAAAAACCTTCACTGATTTTTTACAAAGATTGACTTCAATAGAATATAAAATGATATCGTAGAATCATAGAATGATACCAAATCCAGAAGCTAGACAAATACTAATTGAATCTTTGGCTTTTGAAAATGATAATTAACATTGCAAAAGAGTAATTAGGCCTTTAAGGGCAAGATCAGCGCCCACAGAGCAATGGATCTGAGATATAGTTAATATTGAATGTCATAACCATGATGATAATTGGATAACAGAGGTGATTTCCAAAGACTTGAAGAAAAATCAGAATGTCAGATATTTTAATTGTGGTGAACAATGTCACCTAAAAAGGGATTGTAGGCAGGACATTACTAGAAACAATTTTTTTTCTAGGAATAATCCAAATAGAAGGCTTTTGCCTTCTGGAGTATGCAAAAGGTACAGCAAAGGCCTGCATTGGACCAATGAATGCAGATCAACGATGGACATACAAAGTAACACTTTACCATCAAGAAATGCCTTGAGGGACTCTTAAAGGCCCCCATGTCAAATTTGGGTCAATCATTCCCTCTCTCTGTGGGGGAAATTCCTTCCCAGAGAAATAAAGGCCTATTGTTAAAAAACAAACAAACAAACAAACAAACAAACAAAAAGTCCATACTGTTCTGGATGATAAAACAACTTTAGAAGATAAAACAAAAATTTCAGGAGACACCTTAAAGCAAATATTTTTGCAAACTTCTATAAATGATCAAAGACCAAAGTTAAAAATACAAATAAATGACATTGTAATTAAGGGTCTTGTAGACAGAGGAGCAGATATAACAATACTTGTATCAGAATCTTTGCTTTCAAACTGGCCTCTTCAGGAGATAAATGTTCAGCTTTTTGTTTTGTTTTGCTTTGTTTTGGGGGGAGAGATTGGAACTTTAACTCAGGTAAAACAAAGTGCAAGAGGTGTTGGTTGAATATATAGGGCCAGAGGCCAGACTGGAAAATTAAAATCGTATGTGGCTAACATTGCAATGCATTTTGGGGGATGTAATTTGCTACAGCAATGGAAAACTCAGATTAGCATTCCTCCAATCTCAGAAACAAATCATAAACTAATGTATGTTCCTGGAAAAGCATTAGAAGGTATTATAAACAGTCACCAACCGTTCAGTGTGCACACAAGCAGGGCACGACACCTGCTGATCTTTCAAAGGTACCAGCAGCCCTACCTTTAAAATGGTTAATGGACAAACCTATATGGATTAAGCAATGGATATCAGAAAAATTACAGGCCTTAAAACAGCTGGCATAGAAGCAGTTAAATGCTCAACATATTAAAGAATCGACCAACCAGTCCTTAGAATTTTCCTACATTTGTCATTAAAAGAAATCTGGAAAATGGATAATGTTAGTGGATTTGAGAGCCATAAATAAAGTAATTCAGCTGATGGGCTCTCTACAGCCTGGAATTCCTTGGTCTTCTCTATTACCTAAAAAAAAATGGTCCATTGTGTTGATCGACTTAAAAGACTGCTTCTTCACTATACCTTTACAAGAACAAGACAGGGGGAAAGATTTGCCTTCATGGTGCCTACTTATAATAATTCTCAGCCTACTAAAAGATAGCACTGAAACGTTCTCCCACAAGAGATGTTAAACAACCTCACCCTGTGCCATTATTTTCTATAACAGCAGTCAGAAATGATTCATAAACAGCTTCCTCAATCTATAATTTACCATCATATGGACAATATCTTACTTGTAGATACCTTAGAGAAAATGTTGAAGAAGTAAACAAAATTTTGCCTGGTTGGGGATTACAAATTGCTCCTGAAAAAAATACAGAGGAGATTCTAATACCTAGGCTTTAAGAGAGGTTCACAAAAAAAAAAAATCAACCTCAGAAATTACAAATTATAAGAGATCAATTATGAACTCTTTAATGATTTTCAAAAATTGCTGGGAGATATTAACTGACTACTGCCCACAAATGTATTGACAACTCAAGAACTAACTAATTTATTTAAAACCTTACAAGGTGATAAGGACTTAAATTGTCTGAAAATGATCAGCTGAGGCTGAGAGAGAATTAGCCTTGGTAGAAGAGAAATTACAGGATGCACATGTGGATCATTTGGATCTGGAACTTAATTATATTCTGGTTATTTTACCTTCTATGCATTTTCCTACAGGAATTTTAATGCAGAGAGAAGATAATATCTTACAATGGATATTTTTACCACACAGAGTAAAAAATTAAAGACATATGTAGAAAAGGTTTCTGAGCTGATTCTAAAAGGAAAATTGAGGCTTTGTCAATTAGCAGGAAATGCCCAGAGGAAATTGTAGTACCTTTCAATAATGCTGAAATGTTCTCTTTACAGACAGAAAATGAACATGGGCTAAGAGTGTGTAGCAATTTTTAGGAGAGACTAACAACAATTATCCCAAAAGCAAGAGAGCTCAGTTTATAAAGAGAATTAATTGGATCCTTCCTCACATTGTATGGGAAAGGCCAATTTCTGGAGCCCCTACATTCTATACTGACACAAACAAATAGGGAAAGGAAGGTCGTTAAGTAACTTTAAGTAAAGTGGCTCAAAGTTCTTACAATTCTGTTCAAAAGTCAGAATTATATTTTATTCTCATGGTATTATTAGATTTTCCAGAACCTCTTAAAATATTACTGACTCTCAATATACCAAGAGTTTGTTTTACATGTTGAAACTGCTGAATTTATTCCAGAAAATTCAGAATTGACCTTGTTATTTGTTTAATTACAAGAAATAATCAGAAATAGAAATCAACCCTGATATATAGTACATATCAGATCCCATATGGGTCTACCGGGTCTTCTAACACAAGATATTGATGAAATTGATCAATTATTGGTAGGAAGTGTTCTAGGGGCCTCAGAATTTTATAAGAAACACCTTGTCAATAGAAAGGGCTTGAAAAAAGATTTCCATCACTCCTTGCTCCTGCCCTGGGCGGCCATTGGCCAGTGTCATCTCCTGATAGCGTAGACAGTCCTCGTCAGTGAGTGCCGATCCGAATGGGCAGCAACTGTTCACCGTGTGATCTGCTCCAGGGACTGTGTGCGCAGGGACAGCGGCTGCAGAACTGGGTTACCTGGTGCGCATCTCGCGACTATGCCGCCAATGTGAACCTGCAGTGCCACGGGTGAGCTGCCGCTATGCTGCTGGTGTGCTGCCACTGTGCGTCTACCGTGCCCCGGTGTGCGTCTACTGTGCCACTGGTGTGCATCTTGTTCTGTGTGCCTGGTGACCGTCTTGCTGCTGTGCTGCCAGCGGCCTTTGGAAATGCCAGCGACTCTGAGTACATTGTGGCCCAATGTACGGCCTCAACAGCGCGCCAGGCAGCTCCTGTGGAGGCAGCCGGGGAAGGAACAGGTGGCTGGAATGCTGCAGCAGAGGCTGCGGCTCCAGCTGGAGGATCCTAGCAGAGGGGCCTAGCAGTGTCTGGCCTAGCAGTGTCTGGCTTCAACGCACAGAGACTGGGAGAGGCGGGGAAGTGAGGAAGAAGAGGGAGGTGGAGACGAGGAGGGGGGAGGCGGGGAGAGGGGACGACAAGAGCACACTGCACAGGCCCAATGTGGCCACGGCAGTCAGCTAGAGCCAGTCCAATGCAGAAATCCTAACAAATTGCACAATACTTTATTCACTTTAAATTTTCTAAATGATCTCATGAGAAAGAAACTGCTGCAGAGAGACATTGGATAATGGGGGGGGGGGAAACCCGCTGAATTAAATCAGCCTGTATACTTTAAAGATGTGTTGACCTCAGAATGGAAACCAGGATAAGTGTTATGTTGGGGGAAAAGGTTTTACTTTTGTTTCCACAGAAGAAGAAAAGCTATGAATGCCATCAAAATTGAAAAAAGATTAGATTCAAGCAAGAGAGACCTCTGATTAGAAGAGGTGATAGTTCATCAAACGGCATTGTTCTATGACACTTTGTGTTCTAACAAAGCTTGCCTGAGAACAGATCTAACAGGTCTAGTTAACCATAGAGGCCGGGCAGTGGTGGCACACACCTTTTATTCCGGCACCGAGAGGAGGGTGCAGCAAGATGTGAAGTTCAAGGTCACCCTGGGCTAAGTGAGATTGAACCAGTAGGAAAGAGAAGCAGCCAGGCAGTGCAGGTTTACACCTTTAATCCCAGCAGTTGGGAGGCTCAAACCTTTGAACCCAGCAGATGGGAGGCCCACGCCTTTGATCCCAACACCTGAGAGGCTCACACTTTTGATCCCAGCATGTAGGAGGCTCAGACCTTTAATCCCATCATTAGAGAGACAGGAATATAAGGTGGGTGGAGACAGGATCTTTCCCCATTCCTCCCATCTGATCTGAGATTTTGTAGAGCTAAGCAGAGACTGTGGCGGCTACTCTCCTTTTCTAAAAATTCAGTTTTCACCCTAACATCTGATTCCGGGATTTTTATTGATAAGATTAATTAGAACCACGTTTTACAGAGTGGCCATTCAATCTAAACTAATTTATAAGATTAACAAATGCTTTTCATGACTTCCTTCGGCTCGAGTGACTCAATGGACCTTGCAAGTGGCTCTCCGTTGGGCCGCAGGATGAAGAGCGAGCGGGAGAGAAGCGACTGGCAGCGACACCGGGCAGACGATGAACTGGCAACCGTGGTGGTGAAGCAGGGGTGTCTGAGCCCCGAACCAGTCGCGCGCTTCCGGCCCGATGTCCCAGCCTCTAACCCGTCCTCGCCTGGTGCTGAGTCAGGCTGCGGTGGCCACCGCGGGAATCGAGCCCGGGGAGGGAGTCGGTCCCCAGTCAAAAAGAAAAACAAGTTCTCAGAGATAAGTAAGTCTTCACGGACTGAGAGAAGTCGGAGTCTCCACTACGCCACGGTTAAAGTGAAGCAGGAACATGAGGACCATTCATGGAGAGAAGGAGAGGATCGACAGCAGCGGGAGCCATCAGAACAGGAACAAAGGAGAGCTCATAGTAACAGGGAGAGAGATCTGCACCGGGGCCATTCCCGCCAAAGAAGGATCTCTGGTGAGAGGCACATCAGTGGGCAGGGTCGGGACCGAGATAGCCAGATTCCGCAGGTCCAGGAAAAAGAGAGGGATTTTTGTAATGCCAGGCGTTTGGAGTATCACCAGCAGAATGAAGGAGCTCGCGGTGGAGCTCAGGAGGTGATCCCTTGCCCTACTGGTAACAGAAGCAAAGAGGTGTCTGTCAAAGAAAAACCAACCTTCGAACTTTCTGGGGCACTTCTTGAGGACACCAATACCTTCCGGGGTGTGGTTATTAAGTATCACGAACCCCCAGAAGCACGGATCCCCCCAAAACGGTGGCGTCTCTACCCCTTTAAAAATGATGGGCTACTTCCGGTCATGTTCATCCATCAGCAGAGTGCTTACCTTCTGGGTCGAGATCGCTGCATCTCCGACATTCCCATCGATCATCCGTCTTGCTCAAAGCAGCACGCAGTCTTCCAATACCGGCTTGTGGAGTACACTCGAGCTGACGGCACAGTTGGTCGAAGAGTGAAGCCCTACATCATTGACCTTGGCTCAGGCAACGGAACCTTCTTGAATAACAAGCGTATTGAGCCACATAGTAGAGATACTATGAACTGAAAGAAAAAGATGTCTTTAAATTTGGGTTCAGTAGCAGAGAATACGTCTTGCTCCATGAGTCTTCAGACACCTCTGAAGTAGACAGGAAGGAAGATGAGGATGACGAGGAGGAAACGGTGACTGCTAGGATCTGAGAAGCACCTGCCACACACACTGTTAGAAACCGTTCCCTCTGGAGGCCGTGGGATTGACTCTGGATCGCCTCTTCTTGCCTTGTCTTTGCTCTGTTGCTGCCCAGCTTGTGTTGCAGTATGAGAACTCTCACTTCGTATTTTGTCGAACTTGACACAGCAGCTGCCTGCCTGTGGGCGCTTGTTTTCCCGAACAAAATGGCACTGATTACAACATATCAAGTTTTGGTCAAGTGTATGGCTGTAGTGGGTGCCTTCAGAACTGCTGCACTGGAAACCAAGCCCTTGGAAAAGGGATTGCGGCTTGTTTGTTCTCGTTGTACAATTTCTTACTTATATAGTTGTTGAGCTTTGTGTACCAGAAGTTTTGTTTGGGGCACAAATCCTAAAGTAAAGAATCTCTCAGTAAGCTTCAGTTGTCACCAAAAGAACCTCCAGCATATACCAAAGCTTTGACCTGGGGCAGCTCTTGAGTCATAGAGGTTGATATTGCACTGTGGTTTTTTTTTTGGAGGTAACAATTTACCACATGGCCTCTTTATTGACTGTCTAAGCTAAACAGTCACTCTGCAATGCCTGTGTCGCCGCGACTATGTAAGGGAGGTCGGGGCTTCTACCATCGGGTGTCTGTGTCATATCCTGCACTGGGTTGTGAAGCTGTGTCCTGAGGTCATTGCTTCTACAATTGGGTACATGTAGTAGCATTTCACCTGTATTTTAATAATAAAACTTGCCTGAAGATCAGAAAAGTAAAACAGCCACACTGGCCAGTCTTACAGACCAGGCAGCAATGACACACACCTTTAACCCCAGCAGCCACACTAGCTTGCCAAGGAAACCAGGTGGTAGTGGTACATGCCCTTAATTTTAGAGTTAGATAGAATTATAAAATTGGAGGAGACAGCTCTCAGTCCCAGTCTCATTCTGAGGTTTCCTGGAGGCAGGATCACCATTTTCAGACTGAGGTTGAGGTAAGAACCAGTGGCTGACTGCTTTGCTTTTCTGGTCTTCAGGTTGAACCCCAATATCTGTCTCTGAGTTTTTATTAACTGTGCTTCGTTTGGCACCCAACATGGGGCCCAAATTCATGAAGAAAGAAGTTTGCTTGAAGCTTTTAAGCCACTGGAACAGGCCAGAGCTGGACCCAAACCTAGCCAGCTAGATTCAGGAGAAAAACTAGTACTCCTAGCTCCCATCCGCCCTGGCTTAGCTTCCACATAAAGATGGAAAACACGCAGAGAATCTGGATACTATATGTTATTGTGTTGTCTTTGAATTGTTTGAGTGCCAAGGGAGGTATAACACCTGCTAAAAGAGATTTGATTATAAATGCTGCTGGGTTAACCCAACATGTATATTCTGAAAATGCCTTGACTTCAAAATTTAAGTCAAAAGATGTTACTTTGGAGAAGTTTTGGCTTTTGTTCCTACAGGAAATGAGAGGCTGTGGATTCATGCTGAGTTAAGCAAAATAAGGTTTGATAAAGGAAGTTCCCCTGAAAAATCTCCAATGGGAATGGATGGCCCAATTGAGCCAACGTTTCAGAACACCTCTGCTGCAGTTTCTTCTGAGTTCTACTTCCAGAACAGCCTCAAGGCTACTGGCTGGGATGATCCAGTTTCACAGAATACACCAGTCAGGACTTGACCATAATCTTAAGTTTTCTTTGGGTCCCCGTAAGGTTACCAGCATCCCCAATCAGCAGAAAGTAGCCTAGAAAACTAAGACCACATTTTCCCCAAAATGGGTTAGAGTATGTTGGTTACAAGTTATTATTGGTAATGGTCAGGGAAAAAAAAGCTAACCAAGGGAAATTAGATTCAAGGTTTTTGTTTTGAAAAGAAAAAAAAGGTGGATATAAATGTAGGGCCCATGGGTCTACCCCTGCTCCCGGGGTTCATTTTGAGGACAGTTTCTGACCAGCCAGCATTTTCAGTTTGTTTCTGTGCTCCCTCTACCCTGTCTGGTGATTAGCTATAGGGCATTGCTTACTCCATCTTGGGTGTGGCAATTTCCCACCTGCCTGGGGGGAATTCCTTGTGCAGCAGCTAGGTATATAAGGATTTTCCTAAATTTGAATAAATGGCATTCGGCTGATCTCGTTTCAAATGACCCAGGTCTCTTGTGTGTTCTTTCAGTCTCCAGGCCCTTGCCCGGCTCGCATACGGTAGTATAGTAGCACGTGAACTGTACTGAGAGCATTGCAGGTGCAAGCATTATGAAAGGATTGAAAAGGTAGATTATTGAATCTCATCTGAAAAGAAAAAAAGGGAGGATATATCTATGATAAGATAAAAAGGTAGATTATTGACTCTACTTCAGAGAAGATGATGGGCATTGAAGAGACTCCACATGGAGTTTACTTTTTGTGTCAAAAGTAAGCTACTGAGCAAGAAAATGCCCCTGCTTAGACTGCTGACAGTATGCTATCCGAATTAGACAAGCAGAACACAAAAGAAAGTGGCTGCCAAACCTTGTCAAGACAAGGAGGGACAGCCCTTCACAATATTCTGCTTCACAGAAAGATCTGTCAGATATGTTAGGCCTGTAGGCTGAAGATGGATACCCCAATATTTCAGGGGAACTTTGGGTGACTGTCCAGGCAGCCAGCTGTTTCTGTCATTGCTCACATTTTTTAGAAGTTGCTTGCTTTCACTTCCTGTGCTGTAGGACAATGGTCTGTACCCTATCACTTGTATTTTAAATAAATGCTGATTAGCCAGTAGCCAGGCAGGAAGTATAGGCAGGACAACCAGGCAGGAATTGGAGGCAGGAATTGGAACCAGGAGGAGGAGGAGGAACAGGAGAATTCTGGGAAGAGGAAAGCTTATTCTGCAGTTGTAACCCAGTCACAGTAGAAGCAAGATGTGACTGCCTTGCCAAATAAGGTACCGAGTCACATGGCTAGCATAGACAAAAATAATGGGCTAATATAAGTTATAAAAGTTAATAAGAAACCTGAGCTAATGGACCAATCAGTTTATAACTCATGTAGACCTCTGTGTGATTTCTTTGGGACTTAATGGCTGCCGGACAGGGTGGGATAGAAAACCTTGGTCAACACTTCCTGCTTACTCAGTTAGAATTATTTACTTCTTTGGTCTCTGGGGGAGTTGAAGACTACATAGTTATAGTTTTCCTTGTTTACCTGATGCAGAGATCAAGTTATGATAGAAAGTAAATTGGGTACAATATCTGCCTCTGAGTTTTTAGTAATTGTGCTTCAAAGTTTTGTTTTTGTCTTTCCAGGAGAATGAAGGCATCCAACTAAGGAATCTGAAGACTGTTGGACAAATAATAAATCTGAAATAAAAAGACAATGATTCAGAGAAAATAACCCAAGAAAAAGAGTAAATTGGCCTATTGGTATATCACATTTCCAATAAGATAACATTTCATAAATCTTCCCAATGTTTGTTTCTGCTATTCTCTACAGACATATAATGCAAATGATCTTTTTGTAGTCTCAGTCTAATTAAAAATTAGTTTCATTAATTTCATAATCCTTTTGCTTTATTGTGACTCTTTAAAACATTTTTTAGCCGGGTAATGGTGGTGCACGCCTTTAATCTCAGCACTCCGGAGGCAGAGGTAGGCAGATCTCTGTGAGTTCGAGGCCAGCCTGGTCTACAAGAGCTAGTTCCAGGACAGGCTTCAAAACTACAGAAAAATCCTGTCTCAAAAAACCAGAACACAAACAAACAAACAAAAGCAACAAAACAAAAACTTTTCTTCAGGTACAAATAGTATCTCAAAATTTATAAAATTAATACATATATTTTGAAATTTTGTCATGATATTAATAGTCATATAGAGCACTAATTCTAGAAAAAGGCTTCATCTAGCTTTCTGTACATGATTTCAGATCTGAGCCTCCATCAGGTAACTAGGAATTAAATTTTTGTAGTCTATGTACTTAACAAATTATGGTTCTTTAACCTTTTTGAGATTTGCTGCATATGACATGTGAAATATTTAAGTTTTCTACAATGAATCGTGACTATGCCTAACAGTGACCTTTGAAGTCCAAAAGGTAGATGGGCTCTATAATTACAATCCCATCCCACCTGGATTGTGATAATGCCTTTAAATTGACACAAACACCACCCAAAGATCGACTTTGGACCACAAACTGCTTAGGACAATTTCAAGGTGGATAACTGAGATGGTCCAGCTGAGATGGTCACAGAACACTCTAGCCCTGACTTTAGTTAAGTCCTGCACTTTCCTATAACACAGAGACTGAACAACAAATGATAAAATTAGCTCTCTCAGGACTTAACAATTTTTTCTGGGTTCCCTGAAGATGCCATCACCCCAGACAACATGAAGTAATTTTAAAAACATTACACCTACATTCCCAAGAGGTGGGGTAGGAGGTTTTTGTTCATTCAATGGGTTATGGGTATTTGTCATCATTTAGGGGATTGGTAACAAGTTGTTATTGATAATGATTAGGAAAAAAGATGAATGAAAGAAATTAGATTCAGGGATCTTGTTCTGAAAAGAAAAAGTGGGGATATAGAAATGACAGGATAAAAGAGTAGATTATTGAATCTACTTTTATATAAAAAATCAAATGCTAGTTTTATTTATTTACATTGGTATGGATTTTTCTATGTTGATACAAATTTGAAGTTATTTTTGCTATATTATATATGCTTCTACTCTTAAGATATTTTTGTATATTGGTACAAATTTAAGGTTATTTTTGTTAGGACATACTGTACATAATTTCTACTCTTGTTGAAGGTATTACACTTTTACAGTTCATTTAACAATGTAATGTAAATTTCAAGTCCTTAAAAGTTATTATAAACTATTTAGGAAAATAAAGAAATGCAGATTAGTAGTTAGTAACCTATAATAATCAAACTTGTAGACATATTAGATATGTTTTCAAGGTCAGATATATTTTAGGTAGACAGGTGGTCTTCAGACACTTCAGAGATCTACAGAATTGGCATTTAAGATGTTTTTAATTACATAAGGTTCTTTTTTT